ATTGCCCAGTGTGTATTTACCTTTTTGAGTGTTGTTATTGCCCAGTGTGTATTTACTTTTCTGAGTGTTGTTATTGCCCAGTGTGTATTTACTTTTCTGAGTGTTATTATTGCCCAGTGTGTATTTACCTTTTTGAGTGTTGTTATTGCCCAGTGTGAAGTTACTTTTTTGAGTGCTGTTATTGCCCAGTGTGTATTTACCTTTTTGAGTGTTGTTATTGCCCAGTGTGTAGTTACTTTTCTGAGTGTTGATATTGCCCAGTGTGTATTTACATTTCTGAGTGTTGTTATTGCCCAGTGTGTATTTACCTTTTTGAGTGTTGTTATTGCCCAGTGTGTAGTTACTTTTCTGAGTGTTGATATTGCCCAGTGTTGTTATTGCCCAGTGTGTATTTACATTTCTGAGTGTTGTTATTGCCCAGGGTGTATTTACTTTTCTGAGTGTTGTTATTGCCCAGTGTATTTACTTTTTTGAGTGTTGTAATTGCCCAGTGTGTATTTACTTTTCTGAGTGTTGTTATTGCCCAGTGTGTAGTTACTTTTTTGAGTGTTGTTATTGCCCAGTGTGTATTTACTTTTCTGAGTGTTGTTATTGCCCAGTGTGTATTTACTTTTCTGAGTGTTGTTATTGCCCAGTGTGTATTTACCTTTTTGAGTGTTGTTATTGCCCAGTGTGTATTTACCTTTTTGAGTGTTGTTATTGCCCAGTGTGTATTTACTGTTTTCTGACAGAAGCTACCTCCCCCATGAATTCCTACCTGCTATTAATTTCATGCTGGAACTGTTCTCTCTCAGCCTCCTTCTGTTTGGTGTCTTTACTGTCGTCAAACTTGTAGTCCTCTATGGAGTCGATATCAAAAGACCAGCTGTTGGATCTCCGCATCTTCTGCACAGCTGATAGGGTACATTAATGATGTAAATAACATTGCCCTTAGCATTTAATCAGTCGTTGAGATTTTTGACTTTTTGTCTTCCAAATTTTAAATAAAATGCTATACAAATTTTGATGGTTAAAAATATTACATACAGGTATCATTGTCTTATTCATTTTTAATTTACAATCATCTTTGTGAAATAAAATGATTTCTTCCAAGGAATTTTATATTGTTGTAAAATGTCTGACAATTTAGTAGAATATTGAAATATATTAATAACATTTTCAATTGATTTCAATTGTTTTAACATACAAATGTATACATACTGGGATAAAAATGTCAATGTGTTTATATTTATTAATGATTTTCATGTTATGAAAAGTCTCTGAAGTTCTACGCATCATAGAATGCAACGCAAACAAGTGTCACTACTACAACAACTTAGCTCTAAAACAAAATATCATTACATATCAATTCTATGTCTACATATCAGATATCAGTAGTTTGTACAAAAGGTATCTCTAAATGGTGAAGTTTTCAATTTATTACCTGAAAAAGACCCCTCTTCCCCTTGTGCACCCTCTTTCCAATGAACTGCTTATATATTCATGCATGTGTTCCATAAAATCAATAAATAGTAACCTGTAAACTAACAAATGTTTTTCTTTTTTTGCGCTTCAAATTCAGAAGCTATGGAAATCCTTCCTAAATGGTAGAAACGTGTTATTTTTTTTCTCCGTTTTTCACTGCTATTATACTACAAATGTAGACACGGTGGCAGCTGGTAAGTGTGGCCAAGACTAAGGAAAGCTCTGGTCAAGTATTAACTAGTGATCAATGTGTTTCAATATAAGTAGACCAGCATCTGTCTGAATCAAACAAGCATCGTTTTATGTTAAGAGTTAAGATTAAAGCAATAATCTGTGCTAGAAATTAAAGCAAACTAGCAAAATTTAACTAACTTTAGCATCAGCCTGTATGATTAAAGTTTTCTCTGAAATGTTTTAATTGGGAAAATATTAAACTTTTTAACAGCTTTCAACCATTTTTTAAACCATTTTTAGTAAAACATATTTTAACACACAAAACAAACTGGAAATAAAAAACAAACTCAATATATCTATAAGCTACCTGGTGAGCCTCTTTCTGAAATATCAAAAAATATGATACAAAATACAGATGTGTCTGTTTAGAGGAGCAGTGCCTCTACATGAGTTTATTGTAGACACATTTAGTCAGTGCACGTGGCCCTAAATGAGTTCTTTGTTGATAACGTTACACAGCATGTCAGTTTATTGTGGATGTCTCTACCTTGTACAAATCTGAGTCTATAATTTCAACAAAACCAGAGAAGAAGTTGGTTAAAGCAATATTTCCCAATTACCCCTTTTTGGCCCCGCCCCTCAGCCCCCTGGGTGGAGGGGGGCAGCCATTTGCCACTCCATTTGTACAATTTTGAATCACACACCCCCCTCAGCCCCCCTGGGGGGTCAGCCCCTCCATTGGTACAATTTGGAATTTCCACCACCTAGGGATGTTTCCAGTCAAATTTTGGTCAAATTCCAATAAGCAGCTAAGTCGTTTGAAGATATTGTTGTCCTTTCGACCAGATGGCTAAAAATAATGCTCTGCTGATTTCATAAAGCTATTACAAAATTTGAGACCTTTATTTGGCCTATTTATGTTATGGTGACAAAATTAATCATGTTTGTTGTCCACAACGTGACAAAGTACCAAAATTTGTATATGTTTACTTGTGTCTCTCTTAGAAAAACATTTCAATTTATGCTGTGTAATGAAACTGTAGCTCTTGTTGATTAAGTTTTCTTTACCAGGTCACTAACATTGCCATAATGATGATGTGATTCACAATCAAACTGTTCATTATCATCCTGTGTATGAGACAAATACTTCCTTAAATAATGACCTCAGTAGAAAGTGTCATTTCTGTCCAATCAAAACCACCCTCACAAACTTAAACAAATACATTTTTATGACCATTACTTATATATGTTAAGACAGTTGAAACATAAGTTTGCATTTTTAGTTTGAAAGAAAATATGAAGACTTCAATGACCTGTTAAGATAAACAGGAGGTAAGTATCAGAACAGTATATCATAGAAATAGCCAAATCCAAGAATTAGTGAAGACAAACGATTTAGGACAAATATTCATCATTTTCTCAAAAAGACATTGTCACCTGGGCTCTTTTGCTTTGACAATTCAGTCTTTTTATCAATAAATGTAAGTCCCTTCCCTTGTGTATAGGATACACATTTTCAATGGAGAACATGCATTGTTATAAAGATGTGGAGTGTAGGTCCCCGGACAGGCAGCAGCCAGTACTGTGTGTCATTGTGGGGCATGCTACCTGTGATTACTAGTAGGAAATACTCGGAGTATCGCAGGTAAAACATCCAGCTAAGTACAGCATGCATACAGTTTGATGGTGATGACATGCCACTAATGCTTTGCAACAATTCCATAATGTTTAACTTTTTGATATCCAGAGAACTAGTTTTGATGATTCTTCATCTCTATACCTATATCTATATATCATATAATGTAAAATCTCCTATTTTGGAGAAAATCTCCTATCAGACATACAATATTGATGACACTAGGGATGTCTCGTCTCCCTCCCAATGTGATGGTTTGCTGACTAAATGACTGTAAGAAGGCCTGAGGTTGAGGCTATAGCTGACCTAGGCCAGGGATGTCCTGTCTCCCTCCCAATGTGATGATGGTTTGCTGACTAAATGACTGTTGGAAGGCCTGAGGTTGAGGCTATAGCTGACCTAGGCAAGGGATGTCTCGTCTCCCTCCCAATGTGATGGTTTGCTGACTAAATGACTGTTAGAAGGCCTGAGGTTGAGGCTATAGCTGACCTAAGCCAGGGATGTCTCGTCTCCCTCCCAATGTGATGGTTTGCTGACTAAATGACTGTTGGAAGGCCTGAGGTTGAGGCTAGAGCTGAACTAGGTCTTGCCTCCCTTGTGACAGTGTGAAGACTTACAAATAAAGAATGGCTGGGATAGAGGGAGATGAGTGGGGTAGCCTGGATAAATGTGAATGTCTTGTTCCCTCTCTCCATGTGGAGGTATGTTAACTGACCAGAATAATTCTCTGGGGTTGAGGTGAGGGACCAGGGAAGACTTAACCCCACTCCTCGTATGGGGGTGTGCTTACTTACCTGACTGGTAGGCAAGAAGTTTGGGATGGGAGGTGATATGTGTCAGGAATGTCTTGTCCCCACTCCGGTGTGGGGCTGTGGTTATTACTTAACAGCTGACATTTGAGAAGTTTGATTGAGACAGTCAAGGATGACTTAATCACACACCTTTGAAAGCCTGTTAACTTTCCTGACAACTGGAAGGATGGGAGATTTGGGCGAAGGGCCAGGGATATTTTGTCCCCCCTCCCAATGTCGGGGCAATAACTTACCTGACTGTTGAAAGGCAGGGAGATTCGGATGAGAGGCGACCTCGGCCAGGGACGCTGTGGAGGAGGAGGTGGGAAGGGGACCAGTGTGTGCAGGTCGCTCAGCGAGCTGATAGGCTGATGGTGGTGAAGAACGGGACTAGATTAGTCTTAGTACATACAGTATAGTAAGTCTGTATATTGAGTACACAGCATGTGAATATTAGTATTAGCTCAAGTATTACCTCACAACTGACTCACCACAACAACAGACTAGAGACATACTGGACAGACACCTGTGCGAGGCCAGGGTACACTGCTTTCCGTGAGATAAGAGACTTTAGAAACGATAAAAATGACTGGTTGAAGTAATGTGTCAACTCCATATATTGTCTTAAATACAAATGTAACAATTATTGTGAATGTATTTATCAACAACTTTTCCAGGAAAACTTGTGTACACATATATATGTAGACATACAATAGCAACATGGCAAATATATATGATTATCATGAACGTTTTTAAGCCTCACAGCCATCTTCAGAATATATAATATTCATGATTTGCAGACCAAAAAAGTGAAGTTCCAACTAGACGAAACAATATTAGTGAAGAAATTTCAGGCTTTTTTGAAGCAGTGTGTCCTGGATAAGTACACTGTTTGTACTGACCAGTATATCTATAATCTGGTAACTATATAATGGGACGGAACCTAATTCATATGACATTTGCTGAAGGCAATGAACATGATAGGTCTGTTTAGTGATAGTTTGAATAGTGATATTTAGTATACAGCAAAAATTAAAAAAAAAGATGGAGATAAAATTACAACATACAGTAGACAGAGTTGGGCTGCAACACAATGAGTCTGTATGACAAAATCAAGACAGACCAGCTCAAGGTCACTTATCAGTCATCAACCCATTATAGAATTTCTGATCAGTCAGTCATTCTTAATTCATTGATGCGCCGTATATTCATATAATGAAAAGACATATTTCTGACAAATCAGAACATGCACTGTTATGATTGAGTGTTGCCCATCTTTAAATACTCCAAATGGTTTCCAAAACATTCCAATATTTTATTAACTTTGGTTTTATAGCCATAAACATAATATCATCTGTGTATGTTACAAATTCTACGTCTTTCAAATGATCCATAAATTAAACTGGCTCTAAAAGACATGATACAAAGGTTGGAATAGTTAATTTTTAAATTTCAGGGGTGAATGAGTTAAGGTCAATGAATGAAGAAATGTTGACACTTAAGTTAATTTTTTGATAATCTACATACAGTATTGACACTTGAGTTAATCTTTTGATAATCTACATACAGTACATGAGTAGCTAATGAGAAAAATGTAGCCATTTTGTATGTACAGACTGCTATGCCAGTAGTATCTAAAAGTAAAATCTTCTAAAACACAATGATACACTAAAAAGGCAACAGAAAGGATATCAGGTTCAGGTCAGAGTAAAGCAACGCTAAAGCTGTAGTTCCATATCCTGAAGACAGACAAACGTATCTATATAGACAATATAAAGAAAGCATGCATGATTAAAAATCATGCAAGTTTCATCCACAACATTTTGAAAAATTTGAACCAACAAGCCACCTGTCAAACTGCGACCTGTTGAACAGAACAGGTTCCCTCCAAATACTCCACAGAGGAAAGCTAATAAACAGGAAACGTCGGCCATTGGAAGTGACAAGCATAAGTACAAATACTCCTGAAGGGTTGAATTTTCCTTATTAATACTATTTTAAATTCATAAATCCTACTTGCTTAATCAGATTTTGACCTTCAGATATTGACGCAATTAAACACGAGACACTATTGATATCTTACTTGGTGGCCACTGATAATAACCGTTCTATAACTTATATGTAAACACTCTGTGTTCCCCCGATGGGGACTGCTAAACTGTAAATAGTTACAATAGACATAATATCACTTAATATTTCTTGAATACAACTTTTCATGGTTGATGTTCCCATGACACATTTTTGAGGACATGAAGTTGTGAAAGGAATGATGACCACTGTATCATTATTGTTCAATTGTGTTAAATACTACTTCGGAATATATCTAGTTTCTTTCCTTGATAAGAACATATACATCTCACAAAACATAAGATAGTTTGAAGTTTTACCCCATAATTTTCTCACACAATTTGACAGAACAGATGATAAACGTTACACATTTTGACACTTAAGTGTTACCCCAATAGTTATCCCTTTACAAAACCTACTTTAACAGTGTTACATATTGCTAACAGTGAAGAACACATTACATATAGTTGTCAGGAAGTAGCTGATACTTTGTGTGGATTAGAACCTTGTGTACCTCTGTTGACTCTCATACTTAATATACAATGACATTAAAGTCCGCACATAGAAAATGGCACATTTTTAGTACAATTCTTAAACAAGTGTTAACGACTGTCAACTATTAATGTGAGGATAATGTGAACATTCATTAGACCTAAACAACAGAATACAAGCATTAACATTTGAACTATTAAAACTAACATCAGTTTGTGAACATTTAAACAGATATTCATGCAGAGTTACATTCTGTTGTTCTTTTATCTTTCTTCAAAAGTACTATTGAAATATGTAAATGGAATAAATATTCCTTATAAATAGATATCATTGACTTTTTAAATATAAACACAAAACACATATCAGCAGTTTTGATGGCAATCACAATGGGACAGCTTGACAAAAACACCTAGTCTTACCATGTTTCCATGAGTGCTATTTTCAGACCCAATGTCTATATATATATATATAGCGATAAGTAGTTTTAAATATCCATGTGACTGTAAAAATAAAAATAAAGCAATACATGAAGACTAGTATAAACAGCTAGCGCTTTTGCCCATCTTGGGGCTCTTCAGGCAATTTAAACTTAAATCCCCCATACTTGTCTTCATGTTTTGCTTTATTTATATATCTATATATATATATATATAGCTGGGAATCTTCAATTTCTCACTGTCCATGACGGATATCATATGTGAAATTTAAAAATTGGAACAGTTTGAAAGGAAATATACTTCACATGTTCACAACAAAATAAATACAGGATTTTTATAAGTTCATATAGATAACACTTAAAGTAGAGATCCCCCTCAGGAGAATCGATCATGACTGACATGTTCTTCAAATTCCATCAGTTATTCTCAAATATCCACCCATTGAAGCTTTTAAATTATACTTGAGAATAAACTCACTCTAATGGATCTAGACCCTAATCCATAACTAAATGTTAGATATCCTCGACTTATAATTACTGGGCATGCTCATATAAACCTGTCAGTATTGGTCACACTACTATATAAACTCAAATTTGACACGTGACTTTAGTTATGTTGTAATTGTACACCTGTCTGTGTCACGTGACTTTAGTTATGTTGTAATTGTACACCTGTCTGTGTCACGTGACTTTAGTTATGTTGTAATTGTACACCTGTCTGTGTCACGTGACTTTAGTTATGTTGTAATTGTACACCTGTCTGTGTCACGTGACTTTAGTTATGTTGTAATTGTACACCTGTCTGTGTCACGTGACTTTAGTTATGTTGTAATTGTACACCTGTCTGTGTCACGTGACTTTAGTTATGTTGTAATTGTACACCTGTCTGTGTCACGTGACTTTAGTTATGTTGTAATTGTACACCTGTCTGTGACACTTGACATCTCTGAACATTAAATTGTATCTAGCTTCGGACAAATCACTCAAATGACTACAATTTTTTAGTAGCATCGGACAAATCACTCAAATGACTACAATTTGTGAGTGGCAGTTCCATCACTTTTGTTTCACTACTGATAGTTTATGCATGAAAACATGGTAATTATCAAGAGGAAGACATTGATTGTGGGCTAAGCTACTACGAACATCACATGTACACTATTGATAAAGGGGACACAACTGTTACAAAGCACATAGTTAAACTCTAGGTAAACAACAGTAACATCCATAGTCCTCCTGAACATTCTGGTTTCTGTTATGAATCAACTTTCTGAGGAATTTAAATTTTAAATTCAAAAAACAAATTAATTAAAAGATCAGTTTTTTTGCAACAATGATCTTCCCCTAATGGTTTAATTTGTAGTTAAGAACATTCCTCCCTTCAATTCGGTTACATTTCACACTACATCTCAAACGTTGAACAGTTAAGTTTCTCTGTAATGGGATCATCCACTCTTTCAAACCAAGAGGTGCTTTAATTCACAAATATTTGAAATGTTGCTTGAGAAACTTAAATAATAAAGCCTTTAAATTAAATTTGATTTTGAGAAATAGGTACATTTTTTAAGTATATCTTGTGATTCCTGGGCCAGTTATTCTAGATGTCTTTTGTATGCTGCCATTAATGGCATTATTTGTGAACATTTTTGTTGCCTTACCCAGAAACCAAAATCCTCTAGGCTCAACATGGTAACTCATAATTATAAAACTAAAAACATTCAGTTAAGTGAACTGATTTGAATAGGAAAAGCAAAGCAGATAAAACGACCTGTGGTAACACACACCGTTGGAGTGTTTGGTTGGAGTCGGGAGAACAGGAAGGAACTTATAACCAGGACTAACAGGGACTTAGCACTGACAGTTTGTAAACCGTTCACAACTAACGCTACAGATTGTATCTGAGGCATTAATAATTTCATTTACTACCAATTGAAGTTAAAATATAATCCACAAGTAAGTAAACAGATTAAGTAGGTATATAATCAGTTGATACAGACAATACTACTCTGAAGGTGAAACTATAACACGGACTCCACGATAGATTACAGGACTATGGGGTTCACTATCGGTCTACCACCACCTAATGCGATTTTAGTCTACATCCATAAAGAGCTATAATAAGTGAATACAGGATCCTAATAAAACCATCACCATGATGACAAAAAGGCTCAAAATAACCAGCTACACAGGCCTGGAGTTCTACCTACTCACAAACACCTGGTAAGGTGGAGGTTAGCGCTTCATGCTAAATATGTCATTCCAAATTCCTCCACCAAAAACTGCCATACAAACGGGTGTAATTCTGACTATACAGCTTCTGAATCGCCACTGATTTTCTGATTATTTCATTATAACATGTGCCACTTTACAACATTAAATGATGAAATATCCTGGAGATGATAGAAATTATACTACAAAGACGGTGTCCTGTGTTCTACTGATTATACAAAAGAAGTAGACCTACAGGTAGTAAACACCTACAGCAGATTTAGACAGAAGGAACATTAATGTGTATCATACAGATTAAAAGTTCACAGACCTAGGGTTTAGTTTCGAGATTAACATATGACCTACAGGATTAACATGCACAGAGGCATATTTCAGGTAGGGTCCAATTAGACTAAGAATGTTGGTTAGGGTCCTACATTGATACATATTGTGCATGGTCACTGCATGATCATTAAAAGGTAATTTTGAAAGTAGAAATTCAAAAAACAAAGGAGTATTAATAATTAGTATCGCACATACACTGATAATAAAATCCAGCACTGGCTGAATATATACTGTAAACATACTTATATCTGTACCATTTCTATCCATTAGCAACAATTTGCAGTTACATGCATCATGATTTTATCATTTAACGCTTCGTCTATCTATAAAGCATACACAGATGAAGTACTTTATATTATATATATATAATATGCAAGGAATTTTTTCTTCTGCAACTTTCCTAATGTAGCACTTTTGATTTAGCCACAGAAGCAATAAAATAATTATATGATAATTACAACCAAAGTCAGTATGTTAACTGCCGTACGGACATGTTTAGTTCTAACCCCGAGTACTGTGAGGAACTTTGGTAGAAACGGGCAGTTAATCAAAGTGTAGGAATCCATGATTTACAGGAAAATATGGTTAACTACACACTAGTAGGAGATCCTGAAATATCACCTAGATAATTGTATGTTATAGAAACTACTGTTAACAAGAAATAACAGGTTGATTCAACGACAGATGCCGTGAGAACACTGCTATTATTAGATGTATGCTCCACAATGTCTAGGTCAGTGAAAATCATAGGTGACAAAAAAAACAAACAGATATTGCAAAATCAGATTATGTGCTCTAAATAATGGGATGAGTTACAATTGGAAAATGATAATTAGAACTTAAGGCACAGAAAGGCAGGCCACAGCCAGGTCTACTGGTCACTCACAAGCTGGACAAGACTGACCACTTACTTGACCACCCCTTGAGGAGGCTGGAGGAGGAAGACACCGTGTGATAGGGACTATACTGTCAAAAACAAGGGTCAAACAATTTATACAATACAGTCTATGATTGGATGGTTCAAGTCACATGACTTGTCAAAAAGAAATACCATTGGAGTTTTTGCTGGTCACATGACACATTCCTGCATATTTGATTGGCTGAATCCATCTGCTGATCGTTGTTACTGCTAGAGCAAAACAAAATCTTAAACCTGTAGTTTTGAGTACTTAGTCTGTAGGTAGATTAAGTTTGGTCATTTATGTCGCATGACCTATCACATGACTTGACACTTGACGCAACCCCTGGAATGTCGAGGATGCCATAATGGTGGCCTGAAATAGAACTAGTCACAAGATGCAAGATATGGCCTGTCTAGCTGAGGGAAAGACTCCAGAAAAGTATGTTCTGAATAATTATCCCCAATCTTACTGTTCCATAACTGTGTGTGGTAATATCTGCCAATCATCACTTCCATTGTTAGTAAAACTGCTGGCATGCCATTAGTAGTTAACGAGTTACAACAGCAGTGCTCTCAGACGTGATGCTTGACTATGGAATAAAAGTGTAAGGACTACTAATATAAATAGACCAACAGCTTTAATCACAACAGCCTAACCTACACAAGCTTACAATGTCAGGTGCGGTAGTACTATACCAGGTAATGGGGTTTGGGGCAAAATATTCACTCATTTACTCACCACCTGTTTACAACACACTTCTTGGTGGGTTTTGTTTTTGTTTATTTAGTAAGCAAGTGGTTTCTATTTTGAAGTGAAGCAGGTGTATCTGTAGCAAACTATCAGGAAAACAGATCTCTAAAGTCTAAATTCTACAAGTCAACATTTTGTCAAGTGCATTTTTTTCAATAATTAATACATATCATTTTAATTACCAACCCGTTCTACAGGTCTACATGTACCATTACCTAATATACAGAACTTGTACATGTACCTGTACATCCCATAATACTCATTACATCACCATACAAACCTTCAAAATCATCCTGGAAACAAAAGGCATCAGGTTTTTACACACAGAAAGAACAACTTACAATGAGTGTATCATGAAGCAGGGACTACACCACCCAAGGTCAGAGTGTGAAGGTCACAAATATATGACTCTGGTCTAGAAATTTGTCTAAAATTTGTCATCAAAATATCAAAAAAGCTTCAAATACAAATTTCCAGAACTTTAATAGATAGTTCAATTCGGTTTAAATTTGAAATTTTGATTAAGTTTAAAACACTATTGTTAGGAAAATTTTTAAAGTATCTTTCATAGAAATGTGAATTTTACTATATTTGATGAATAGCACCTTGTTGGTTGTGGTAGCTGGTAGAAATGTGTACACATGAACAATGTATGGTTAAAGTTGTTTGATCATTGCAAAATTGTCTTATAAACTGTTAAATATGTACAGCTAATTTCAGTTTTTCAGAAACAAAATTTTGAATAGAATGTTCAACTTGAACATTTACAAAATGAAAATGCAGAACAGATTTATGATGCATCAGCCAAATATTAAGTCACTGTAATTATAAAGCCATGCAGACCTTAACTGATGCATTCAAATTATCTTCAGTTCTGTTCAGTTCACTATTTTATTTGATTTCATTCAGAATAACCTACAAGGATGCTAAACTTTCATATAATGCAATTTTTAGAATCATTTGCAATAAAATTCCACTAATTGTGGTCATTGACTTTCATTAAAAATTGTTGTGTTAGAATGAATGATTGATTCTCTTATCCCGCCGAGGTTATTAGTGTGACTTGGGGTGGTGTGTCCGTGTAAAGGGGAGACAATAGAAAGGGGGTGGGCAGTTATGGTCACTTACGCATCACATTATTCCATCCACTATCTGTACTACTGCCCAGGTAGTAGGCACTATCTCCCTAGTCAGCAAAAAACACAGTATTACAGTGTGTCAAACACACACAGCAAAGGAACGGTCTGTTATAAACCATGGAAATGTTAATTACTATCCTGTAAGTAACAGATGATCCCTATCAAAGTCATGTTAATTACTATTCTGTAAGTAACAGATGGTCCCTATCAAAGTGATGTTAATGACCATCCTGTAAGTAACAGATGATCCCCATCAAAGTCATGTTAATTACTATTCTGTAAGTAACTGATGATCCCTATCAAAGTCATGTTAATTACTATCCTGTAAGTAACAGATGATCCCTATCAAAGTTATGTTAATAACTATCCTGTAAGTAACAGATGATCCCTATCAAAGTCATGTTAATTACTATTCTGTAAGTAACAGATGGTCCCTATCAAAGTCAAGTTAACTACTATTCTGTCAGTAACAGATGGTCCCTATCAAAGTCATGTTAATTACTATCCTGTAAGTAACAGATGATCCCTATCAAAGTCATGTTAATTACTATCCTGTAAGTAACAGATGATCCCTATCAAAGTCAAGTTAACTACTATTCTGTAGGTAACAGATGGTCCCTATCAAAGTCATGTTAATTACTATCCTGTAAGTAACAGATGATCCCTATCAAAGTCATGTTAATTACTATCATGTAAGTAACAGATGGTCCCTATCAAAGTCATGTTAATTACTATCATGTAAGTAACAGATGATCCCTATCAAAGTCATGTTAATTACTATCCTGTAAGTAACAGATGGTCCCTATCAAAGTCATGTTAATTACTATTCTGTAAGTAACAGATGGTCCCTATCAAAGACAATCTCATAACAGCAATAGGAAATTTTATTCATACTTTTAACAGTAATGAATTTTGATTGTATTTTACCGAAAAAACAAACTATTTCAGTAAATTTTAGAGTACCCTAGTTTTCAAACAGGAATTTAAATTCCACTTCTCAAAATGGTTTATTATTCGTATCAGATCAATTTAGTAATTTTTAAAAACAAAATTATGTTTAATGCAGGTTTTGGTAAAAGTTAACAATAAATACATTTTTTAATGTTATTTTCTTTGATATTTTTTGTACCAAAACAGTTTTTAAGGAGAATCACTACACCGGTATTCACTTCCAAAATGTGACAAGCATCAAATGAAATTTTAGAACTCTTCCAGAAAAGACAATTTGAAATGCTTTCAAAATGAAAGACAAAAAATAAATAGAGATGGATCATTATCAACATTAGGACATCATAATTATTTTGATTATTATAAATATTAGAATATTATATACTACCAGGAAGGTAAGTTATATCAGTCCTAGCACAGAAAAAAATACATCATTTGTAAACAGATACAAAATATCAATTGAAAGGTCTTTTTTTTTTAACTTACAATGTCATTAATAGAAATGCAGGAATTTTAGTTATCATGTAGGAAATATTAAACAAGAGGCCCAGGGGCCTTAATAGCTCACCTGGTATTTTATTTTTCAATTTAAAACCTGCTGAGTACCATTCAGGTTTATCAAAGGAGTACAAGTAACAAAGTTGCATCTTCCATTTATAAATATTCAATTCCCTTTGCCCAAAGATTCTCTAAAACAAGTTTGGTTAGGTTAAAATCCCTTCAACGGTACAGAAGGAGAAGGATCTTTAATGTTTTCCTCTATTTCCCCTAATGGGCCCCACTAATCTGCCCCAAAGAAGGGGAATCCACACACCTCAGTTTAAACAAAATTGATTCTTTTCTCCCTAAGCATGCTTCAGACTGCATTTGGTTTAAATCCCTTCACTTGTATAGTAGGAGAAAAAAAATCCTCTATTTCCCCTATTGGGCCCCGCTCCTATGCCGCCAGAAGGCCCACACCCTCCGTTTATACAAACTTGAGTCTCCTTTGTCCAAAGATGCTCTAGGACAAATTTGGTCAAAATCCTTCAATTGGTTGAGGAGAAGATTTTTAAAGATTTACCTATTTTCCCCTATTTGGCCCCGTCCCTCTGCCCCCAGGGGGACCATACCCTCCGTTCATACAAAACTGAGAACCCTTTGGCCAATGATGCTCCAGACCAAATTTGGTCAAAATCCCTTCATCGGTACAAAAGGAGAAGGATATTTGATGTTTTCCTCTATTTCCCCTAATGGGCCCCACCCATCTGCCCTTAGAAGGAGGCCCACACACCTCAGTTTATACAAAATTGATTCTTTTGTCCCTAATCATGCTTCAGACTGCATTTGGTTAAAATCCCTTCACTTGTATAGCAGGAGAAAAAAAATCCTCTATTTCCCCTATTGGGCCCCGCCCCTCCGCCCCCAGAGGGGCCACACCCTCCGTTTATACAAACTTGAGTCTTCTTTGTCCAAAGATGCTCTAGGACAAATTTGGTCAAAATCCTTCAATTGGTTGAGAAGAAGAACATTTTTAAAGATTTACCTTTTTTCCCCTTATTTAGCCCCGCCCCTCTGCCCCGAGGGGGGGCTATACCGTCCGTTTATACAAAACTGAGAACCCTTTGGCCAATGATGCTCCTGACCAAGCTTCAGACTGCATTTGGTTTAAATCCCTTCACTTGTATAGTAGGAGAGAAAAAATCCTCTACTTCCCCTATTTGGCCCCGCCCCTCTGCCCCCAAAGAGGCCACACCCTCCGTTTATACAAACTTGAGTCTCCTTTGTCCAAAGATGCTCTAGGACAAATTTGGTCAAAATCCTTCTATTGGTTGAGAAGAAGAAGATTTTTAAAGATTTACCTATTTTCCCCCTATTTGGCCCCGCCCCTCTGCCCCCAGGGGGGTTATACCCTCCGTTTATACAAAACTGAGAACCCTTTGGCCAATGATGCTCCTGACCAAATTTGGTCAAAATCCTCTGAGCCATTCAGGACAAGTAGCATTTTAAAGGAAAAAATTGACGGACGCCGGACGCTGCACCATGGGATAAGCTCACTTGGCCCGAAGAGCCAGGTGAGCTAAAAATACAGAAATTACAAATGATGAACTATGATATATTTGCTTATTAAAACATTTTTCCCTCTATCTTTCAGCTGTTTAAATTTTCTATAAATAAGGAAGTTATTTCAGAAGTCTTGCAGATCTACAAGATGAGAAAGCTCAACATTTATGTCTGAACATTGATGGTAATAAATGACATATCTTATGGAATACTAGATTCTTTAATACCCGATGATGTTTAAATGACTGGTTGCATGCAAAATGCTCCTAATTTTGCACTACATGATACCTGCTTACAGTAAAATATTTCAATATCATGCAAAAACTATTGCATTTTCTACTACCATACAAAATTGAAAGCAAAAAATCATCAAATATATCAAGTTAGCAACCAAATATGCACACATCCTTATATTTTAAAGTTTCAAAAAATTCAAATGAAAATATCAAGTTAGAATTATTTATTATAATACAAAAACTTATTAACCACATATTAACATGAGCTACAAAACAAAAGTAATTCCCTATTATTTCTTTAACTACAGCACATGATAGACTAGTGTTTGAATTATAACATAGGATTAAATTAATTTACAAACCAAACATGGAAATTAAATCAATCGGATTTGGATAAAACAATTTGTTTATTTACAAACAAAAGAGGGAGTCATAAAATAGGACTGGAATAAAAACCCTGTATACACACAAAACGTGAGTAGTAACCATTAAGAGGAGACATTTTAATCAACATCATGATATCTAAATCCTCAGAAACATGCATCAACAGGTACCCCTGTAGGAAAAACACATGGACTGATAACACTTCTCAAGCTCAACAGGGACACAGGGGTGAGAGCACGCTATCTGTCCTGGGAAGGAAGGAAATAGTGTGTGGTACTGGAATTTTCCAATAGACCCCCAGCTCTGTACAAAATCTGGTATCAGAAATAAACAAAGGGCTATAACTCTATATAGAGGGGCACAAGACCATATTATGCAATATTCTACGATCCAAAAAGTACCCACATACAAAATTGGCCATTTGTAGGCAACAGAGTTTTTGAGATAAATCTTAACCAATGTGATGTATGGATGAACAGAATGCAAGCTTAGAGTTTTTAATGTAAGAACATGTCAGATATCTACAGGTTTGTAAGGAGAAATGAAACCAATGCAAAACGCTACATTCTGGACAGATCTGTGTAGAGAATTTAACGTTTATTAAATTTAATACTTTGTAATTACAGATTTGTACGGAGAAAATGAACCTTCATTTAATCCCTTCATACTTTCGAAATTATACATCATTATCATTATGTAGATCATTACTGCTGAACCTCATTAAGGTTAAAATGTGGAAACTAAATCACAGACAAATATACATTTATGTGGTTTTCTTTAACTTACTTTACTAGTACATGTATATCATATTTTCTCAAACTATAGGACTGACAGCTAGTCCTAGAAAGTCTATTGGATTAAGCTTTGCTGAAGAATTACCAATACATATTTTTGACCTTCTTGGACCTTTTGTTGACCTTGAGCATTTTACAAGCCTTTCCCAAATAGCAAATCAGAAAACTAGGGAAGCAACAACTGATGGATTTGCATGAGGTATTTGGATGAAATGAAATTCTCATACACACTGTCTACATACTTACCGGTGCCCCTTCCTTTTTTTCAAATATTTGAGGCAGACTGTAGCGCACCTGAGCATATTCATACATTTATACATTCACATAGACAACTTCTAGCTTACTTGAACATTTTGTGTTTCCAGAGGTAAAACTCTGCAAATATTATATTTGATCAAAAGTAGATTTTCATTGTCTGGAATTATTGTGGAGAACCTAATCCGCTTGTACACAACAAGAGGGATTTCTGAACTGCAAATAGGGACGTACTTCAACCTTGTACACAAGAAGAAAGTTCTACAGAAATACTGATGATGACTTTGTCCAACCGTGTAAATAATGAGAAATTTCTACAAAGTTATAGATGATGACTTACTCCAACTGTGTACACATCAAGAAAGTTTTATAAAAACACATACATCAATTTATTTCTTCCCTGCGCGAAAGATTTCTTGTATAGAATAAAAGAGTTCTACAAAATACAGATGATGACTTAGTACAACCTTGTATAGAATAATGAAATTCTACAAAATACAGATGATGACATAGAATATCATAGAACAGAATAATTCTACAAAACTAAAAATGATGAAATATACAAGGTTATCATTTCAAGATGAACAAAAATGAAAGCTTTCTACATTAATGTTTTTGTTTTTTTGCAAAGTAGATTTCCAAACTGGTCTTTACAAGTTGCTTAAGTTATTTTTTCTAAACCAAGGCAAAGCAGAAAACACAGAATCATAGTGCTGGTTCTGAATGGAATTTAAATTAAGAGGAACCAATAAGAGACAGCAATAAAACTCCTAATAGTACAAAATGTTGACACACCAAGAGAAATACCACAGAACACTTAAGCACAGGTTGACACTTACTTCAGCCACCTGAAGGAACATGGCAAAAGACACTTTAAAAAATATTTCCTTTCTAAATGCATATCTTAATCAGAAATATTTGAATAATTTAACAGGATCTAGATTGTAAAAATGAAAATAACAAAGCCAACGATATCCTATAGCAGCCTGTTGACAGCCTGAGGGAGATACTGAAAACTGTGTACCCGAAACTTTCTATATCCAGACTCTACAGACAATGAACCGGTAAAATACACTGTGGCATTATAATTTACTTCTTAGAGAATAGTACTGAGTAAATCTGTGACATCTAATAATGTGAAAAATAAGGGCAATACTTTAATGAAAGATCATAAAAAGGAACTAAAGCAAAACAAATTGTTGACAAGAGATAAATTAACACGTATCAAGCTAACATTTGTTGCAGATGATGTAAAATAGCCCAGGGGGACACACGTCCGTGTGGTTACACCCTAGTGAACACTTACTGTTGGAGGGATGTACTCAACGGATGATGACTGGTGTAGAGGCCTCTGTACTTCCTGTTTGTTCCAGAACACACAGCACAGCATCGCTAGTGTTTGTACGTCATGTAGACTACTGTAGAAGTCCATCCTATTTATACAATAACATGTTATAGTGTTTGTACATCATGTAGACTACTGTAGAAATCCATCCTATGTATACAATAACATGTCATAGTGTTTGTACGTCATGTAGACTACTGTAGAAGTCCATCCTATGCATACAATAACATGTTATAGTGTTTGTACGTCATGTAGACTACTGTAGAAGTCCATCCTATGTATACAATAACATGTTATAGTGTTTGTACGTCATGTAGACTACTGTAGAAATCCATCCTATGTATACAATAACATGTTATAGTGTTTGTACGTCATGTAGACTACTGTAGAAGTCCATCCTATGTATACAATAACATGTTATAGTGTTTGTACGTCGTGTAGACTACTGTAGAAATCCATCCTATGTATACAATAACATGTTATAGTGTTTGTACGTCATGTAGACTACTGTAGAAGTCCATCCTATGTATACAATAACATGTTATAGTGTTTGTACGTCATGTAGACTACTGTAGAAATCCATCCTATGTATACAATAACATGTTATAGTGTTTGTACGTCATGTAGACTACTGTAGAAGTCCATCCTATGTATACAATAACATGTTATAGTGTTTGTACGTCATGTAGACTACTGTAGAAATCCATCCTATGTATACAATAACATGTTATAGTGTTTGTACGTCATGTAGACTACTGTAGAAGTCCATCCTATGTATACAATAACATGTTATAGTGTTTGTACGTCATGTAGACTACTGTAGAAATCCATCCTATGTATACAATAACATGTTATAGTGTTTGTACGTCATGTAGACTACTGTAGAAGTCCATCCTATGTATACAATAACATGTTATAGTGTTTGTACGTCATGTAGACTACTGTAGAAATCCATCCTATGTATACAATAACATGTTATAGTGTTTGTACGTCATGTAGACTACTGTAGAAGTCCATCCTATGTATACAATAACATGTTATAGTGTTTGTACGTCGTGTAGACTACTGTAGAAATCCATCCTATGTATACAATAACATGTTATAGTGTTTGTACGTCATGTAGACTACTGTAGAAGTCCATCCTATGTATACAATAACATGTTATAGTGTTTGTACGTCATGTAGACTACTGTAGAAATCCATCCTATGTATACAATAACATGTTATAGTGTTTGTACGTCATGTAGACTACTGTAGAAGTCCATCCTATGTATACAATAACATGTTATAGTGTTTGTACGTCATGTAGACTACTGTAGAAATCCATCCTATGTATACAATAACATGTTATAGTGTTTGTACGTCATGTAGACTACTGTAGAAGTCCATCCTATGTATACAATAACATGTTATAGTGTTTGTACGTCATGTAGACTACTGTAGAAATCCATCCTATGTATACAATAACATGTTATAGTGTTTGTACGTCATGTAGACTACTGTAGAAGTCCATCCTATGTATACAATAACATGTTATAGTGTTTGTACGTCATGTAGACTACTGTAGAAATCCATCCTATGTATACAATAACATGTTATAGTGTTTGTACGTCATGTAGACTACTGTAGAAGTCCATCCTATGTATACAATAACATGTTATAGTGTTTGTACGTCGTGTAGACTACTGTAGAAATCCATCCTATGTATACAATAACATGTTATAGTGTTTGTACGTCATGTAGACTACTGTAGAAGTCCATCCTATGTATACAATAACATGTTATAGTGTTTGTACGTCATGTAGACTACTGTAGAAGTCCATCCTATGTATACAATAACATGTTATAGTGTTTGTACGTCATGTAGACTACTGTAGAAGTCCATCCTATGTATACAATAACATGTTATAGTGTTTGTACGTCATGTAGACTACTGTAGAAGTCCATCCTATGTATACAATAACATGTTATAGTGTTTGTACGTCATGTAGACTACTGTAGAAGTCCATCCTATGTATACAATAACATGTTATAGTGTTTGTACGTCATGTAGACTACTGTAGAAGTCCATCCTATGTATACAATAACATGTTATAGTGTTTGTACGTCATGTAGACTACTGTAGAAGTCCATCCTATGTATACAATAACATGTTATAGTGTTTGTACGTCATGTAGACTACTGTAGAAGTCCATCCTATGTATACAATAACATGTTATAGTGTTTGTACGTCATGTAGACTACTGTAGAAGTCCATCCTATGTATACAATAACATGTTATAGTGTTTGTACGTCATGTAGACTACTGTAGAAGTCCATCCTATGTATACAATAACATGTTATAGTGTTTGTACGTCATGTAGACTACTGTAGAAGTCCATCCTATGTATACAATAACATGTTATAGTGTTTGTACGTCATGTAGACTACTGTAGAAATCCATCCTATGTATACAATAACATGTTATAGTGTTTGTACGTCATGTAGACTACTGTAGAAGTCCATCCTATGTATACAATAACATGTTATAGTGTTTGTACGTCATGTAGACTACTGTAGAAATCCATCCTATGTATACAATAACATGTTATAGTGTTTGTACGTCATGTAGACTACTGTAGAAGTCCATCCTATGTATACAATAACATGTTATAGTGTTTGTACGTCATGTAGACTACTGTAGAAATCCATCCTATGTATACAATAACATGTTATAGTGTTTGTACGTCATGTAGACTACTGTAGAAGTCCATCCTATGTATACAATAACATGTTATAGTGTTTGTACGTCATGTAGACTACTGTAGAAGTCCATCCTATGTATACAATAACATGTTAGTGTTTGTACGTCGTGTAGACTTCTGTAGAAATCCATCCTATGTATACAATAACATGTTATAGTGTGTGTACGTCATGTAGACTTCAGTAGAAATCCATCCTATGTATACAATAACATGTTATAGTGTTTGTACGTCATGTAGACTAGTGTAGAAGACCATCCTATGTATACAATAACATGTTGTAGTGTGTGTACGTCATGTAGACTAGTGTAGAAGACCATCCTATGTATACAATAACATGTTAGTGTTTGTACCTCGTGTAGACTTCTGTAGAAATCCATCCTATGGATACAATAACATGTTATAGTGTGTGAACGTCTTGTAGACTAGTTTAGAAGTCCATCCTATGTATACAATAACATGTTGTAGTGTGTGTACGTCATGTAGACTAGTGTAGAAGTCCATCCTATGTATACAATAACATGTTATAGTGTGTGAACGTCGTGTAGACTAGTTTAGAAGTCCATCCTATGTATACAATAACATGTCATAGTGTTTGTACGTCATGTATACTACTGTAGAAATCCATCTTATGTATACAATAACATGTTAAAGTGTTTGTACGTCATGTAGACTACTGTAGAAATCCATCCTATGTATACAATAACATATGTCACAGGTTTTGTAAGTCAACATGATCACTGTAGAAGTCCATATTAAGTAGATATCACATCACAGTGTTTGTAGAAGACTAGTAGATCATACATCCTCTGTATTTGCATGGCATGTTCCCTATATCAACTTACCAAATAAAAAAATCATTTGTCGATGAATGCCCGTGGGGTTACATAATTTGGTTGTATCAACATTTCTATGTTTCTCAATACGATTCTTGGCACTGGCAGTTAACTTCAGATAACATCTTAAATAGCTGTGAGTCAATGGCAAAAATTATGAAGACTGAAGATATAAGAACCCTTTCAATTAAATGACAGACTTCTTATTTTTTAGAATGAAACTAAACAGATCAAATAGCATAACTCCCATAAAAATAGCTGGATAAAATATAAGTGTGCAAAACTTGAGAATTCCAGTATACTTTGCTTTCACTTTGTTGTGGAAGTATAAAACTGTTTAAACCTTTCACACCTATGTAACTTTAGTAGACTCTACCATGCATTAATATGGATGAGTCCATTATGGTCTACAGTGGTGGAAGGGTTAATAATGTTATAACCTACAACAGACAGGCAGACACACCACTGCCCTGGTCAATGATGGTTGTGTGATATAGATATCCTTTTATCTTCACAATAACTGTATATTTACATGTGTTTCAGCAGCTGTCTTCCGAATGGGTGCCTTCCCCATGGACTGCCATCATCAGGGTTGGAGGACGGAGCAAGTCGTTTGTCAGACATCAGTGTCACCAGATTCCACAACTGTCAATCATTATCACATCCACAGATGATTAGTCATGGAAAATGGTATTTTTTATAAATTTTAAAATTACAACACACATTTATAACACTGAAATTACTTTTTTGTTTTGTTATTTTAAGCGATTGTTTATAAAGAACAAAAAATAAGCACACTGGACTGTGTAGGCATGTCTCCACCTAACAGGAGTCCTATTTCATGAGACAGTTCATTTACAGATTTGGGGGATGTTATGATCATACTACAGTTGAAACAGTACAATCATGTACTTATCTTGAACAATGAAACAAGGGAGATGATTCTAAATCCAGGAACACCAATGACGTCTGTCCCACTGCAGGCAAAATACCAGAGAATTCCATTGTATACCGTTATCACCCCTTAATTTCGTCTTAGATTTAACTGTAGACTGATTCATCAAATTACCTCTGAACAGGTAGCTCAGTTGGTAAGAGATATCTTAATGTAACTGAAGGTTAAGAGTTCCAATCTCCTTTTGTCTGGTAGAAATTATAACTCCCAGAACAATAATGTTGATTTTTATTTGCTTGTATATTTCAGTTTTCCATAAAATTTCTGCAAAGTATGTGTTTCTTTTCAGAAATGATTTATCAAAGATGTTGTCACGCCAGTAAAAAGATTTTAAATTGATAGTTGCAGTTTGTTTGCAGTGGTATGGGTTTCCTTAAGGGAAAACACATGCTTGCCCCCATTTTGTATATACGAGGCCCTTTGATGTACATACCTGTACTAGATCTTTCCTGCCTACACCAGCTGCCTGAGCAGCATTGTGTCGACACATTGCTGGGATGTCATTCAAGTCTATCCTGTAAGTCAGTAATTAGAGGTAGAATGAGTACACATCTTTATCATAAAACACAAGCATGAAAACTATCCATGTGAAAATATAAAATGTCATTAAGGCCAAAAAAAATGATAACTTGGTTCTCAGGCCCGTGCGCATTTCATGGCACCGATTTTATCGTGAAAGTAATAAAAAAAAAAAATGAATGCGCCAGCCGCCATCTTTAAAAAAAATCCGGAAAATTGGTCCACATGTCGTTTTTACTCGTTAGTCACCCAAGTCCCAAAAACGTTTGAATAAAGGTAAGGATTGAGATACAGGCAAGTGTTAAAATGATTATGACTTATTAGTCTTGTGTACAAATGGCTCTCATTTCGGTACAAATAAGGAATGGGGGGTTCGTGATTCTCGTCTGGAACATTGTGGGGGGATTTTCGTAGGCTTGCTCTATGACGGGTCTCTACACAACTATAAAAAGACAAGGTTATGTCCACAATGAACGTTTTACAAACTACACAATAAAAAAAAATCGCCCTCGTCTCGTTTTTTCCATGTAAAACGAAAAAAAATATACGGCCCTGCCGCATCTATTTTGAAAAAAATTGGCCCGAGAACCAAGTAATTAATTTTATTTGGCCTAATCTCATTAACTTGCAAATGATGAACAATCATTTTAACTCTTTGTCTTACTGACTTAAACATTTGATTAAATGCAAAACATAAAGATTTGGAAAGCCACTTCAATTTAAGACAAGAAATTCCTATACCAGGAATCTAATTAGATTTGACAATTGCCACAGAAAGACTTCAGTTGTTTGTCATGTATCTTACCTGTAATGGGTGCCCAGGTTTTTATTGATAGGTAACAGATAACTGCTGTCATAGATCTTGACCGGGGCTAGATGAGGACCTTTCTGTTTGTCAAGATCTTCACTCTTGTCCTTGATCACTTTTGACTTCATTCTCATGTTGTTTTTTCTCTAAAATTTAAAAAAAAAAAAAAAAAAATAGAAAAATGTATGCTTAGGAAAATACTACAGTACAAACTCCAGTATATGTCCACAAATATGAAGGTAAAAATCTGTTGAAAACAGAGACTACGGGTGGTTGCCTAGACAAAATTTTGCCTACAACTGAGTGGGGAGACAACAAAACAACCGTCAATAGACAGATGAATACCACCTTTCGATAATCTTACAGTACTGTACTTCACTAAACGGTACCTTCTGGTCTTTATAGTAGTAGGACTTGATAGTAAAAGGATCGGAGGTTGTGGGCGGGCTACGAGCGAAGGAGTACTGTTGGTATGGCGTAGGGGCAGTGTGACTGCTCCGTATCCTCGCTCGCGATCCGTACTGGGTCAGATCTGACAGCGCTCTGAAAGTCAAAGTTACGGTCTGTTAATTGAATGTTAGATGTGGAATGTAATATAAAATCACGGTCTGTTTATTCAATGTTAGATGTGGAATGTAATATAAAATCAGAGTCAATTAGGTTCAAAATTATGTATGGAACATGCAGGGCCCAAAAATTTGTTAAACTTATTCCTGGGTGCAGGGCATTTTAGCCAAGAAAGCCTGGGTCCTGACATGGTTTCTGTAGGTCTGCCAACAATATAAAGGTCAACGATAAATATCAGTTAAATAAAATATACTATGTATTAGATTAAAATATCCAATGAAATTATGATAAGATGCTAAAATGGCACATTTCAAACAGCATGTGCTTGACGTTATGATGATATTTCTTTTTGAACCTGTGAACGTGTAGGTCTGATTGACGTTTTACTATTTTTTGGCTAGGTCTGCTAGTCAATTTTCTGGGTCCAGTACCACAGACTTGAGGAATTTTAGCCCTTGACACGAATTGGACAATACAGTTGTTTGGTTTACTGTCCGCCCGATGTGTGATAGTGATGCTGATAACGACTTACTGATGGAGTGGTCTGGGCTACTGGTGAGTATGGTATGATTCACATTAGAGTGAGAGGTCTTAAGTTTGGGTTAGGTCTTACTTATTTTGTGGCATGATCCAACTTAGTACTTTGCAATGAGGTCATAATTATATTTGGGTAAGATCTCACTTTGGGTGTGGTCTGACTATCTGTACGAGTGTAGTCAGACTTGAGTGTGGTCTGGCTATCTGTACGAGTGTAGTCAGACTTGAGTGGGGTCTGACTATCTGTACGAGTGTAGTCAGACTTGAGTGTGGTCTGACAATCTGTACGAGTGTAGTCAGACTTACTGTGGAGTGAAGTCGTACTAACTTTGGGGTTTAGTTGTACTTTCTGTGTGATGTAGTTGTACTTACTGTGGAGTGTGGTCTGACTAACTGTGGGATGTAGTTGTACTTACTGTGGAGTGTGGTCTGACTAGCTGTGTTATTTAGTTGTACTAACTGTGGTGTGTAGTTGTACTTACTTTGGGTGTGGTCTGACTAACTGTGGGATGTAGTTGTACTTATTGTTGAGTTTTGTCTGACTAACCTTGTGATTTAGTTGTACTTACTGAGGTGTGTAGTTGTACTTACTGTGGGTGTGGTTGTACTTACTTTGGAGTGTGGTCTGACTAACTGTGGGATGTAGTTGTACTTACTGTGGAGTGTGGTCTGACTTATTGTGTTATTTAGTTGTACTTACTGTGGTGTGTAGTTGTACTTACTGTGGTGTGTGGTTGTACTTACTTTGGAGTGTGGTCTGACTAACTGTGGGATGTAGTTGTACTTACTGTTGAGTTTGGTCTGACTAACTGTGTGATTAAGTTGTACTTACTGTGGTGTGTAGTTGTACTTACTGTGGGTGTGGTTGTACTTACTGTGGGGTGTGGTTGTACTTACTATAGTGTGTAGTTGTACTTACTGTGGGTGTGGTTGTACTTACTTTCAGGTGTAGTTGTACTTACTGTGGGGTGTGGTCTGACTAACTGTGGGGTATTGTTGTACTTACTATGCAGTGTGGTCTGACTAACTGTGGGATGTAATTGTACTTACTGTGGGGTGTGGTTGTATTTACTATGCAGTGTGGTTGTACTTACTGTGGGGTGTGGTTGTACTTACTATGGTGTGTAGTTGTACTTACTGTGGGGTGTGGTTGTACTTACTGTGGGTTGTGGTCTGACTAACTGTGGGGTGTTGTTGTACTTACTGTGGGGTGTGGTTGTACTTACTGTGGGGTGTGGTTGTACTTACTATGGTGTGTAGTTGTACTTACTGTGGGGTGTAGTTGTACTTACTTTGGGGTGTAGTTGTACTTACTTTGGGGTGAAGTTGCACTTACTTTGGGGTGTAGTTGTACTCACTGTGGGGTGTAGTTGTACTTCCTTTCGGGTGTAGTTGTACTTCCTTTCGGGTGTAGTTGTACTTACTTTGGGGTGTAGTTGTACTTACTTTGGGGTGTAGTTGCACTTACTTTGGGGTGTTGTTGTACTTACTTTGGGGTGTAGTTGTGCTTACTTTGGGGTGTAGTTGTACTTACTTTGGGGTATGGTCTGCTCCTGTCCTAGCTTTTTTAGCCTCTCTTGCTCTCCCAAATACGACAAGAAATCCTTGACAAAAGGAATAATAACAATTGTTGAATATTCATAAACTATAAGATTTTAAGAAAAAAATTGTAAAGGATTTTTCTAGGCACTGACTTTGATTTAAATGAAGGCAGACAAGCAAATGATTATGAAATTATTCACTGGTGTTTTTGATGGCAAGTCTGAAGCCATATCTAACATACCCAGTATTTGCTAATTAAGATTAAGTATTTGACCTGATGATCTAATTATGTTCTAAAGTGCATTGTAATTGGTATTCTTAGATTTAAGTACTTCCAGTTCCATTTTCAACAGGCGATCTAATCTAAAACTGTTTAAACAAAAAAAACTAATGCTCTATATCAAATTAGGCTGCATAAAAGTATGCCCCACTATTGCGGGTTAAGGGGGTGATCTCCTGTAACACATATCAAACAAAGAGGTCACCTGCAGCACAGAAGCGCGCTCCACTGGTTCGGGGGAAAGGAATGTTGTGATCTAACAAGTAGTGGTATGGGCCATAGTGGGCTGAAAACTTGTTATGGCCGTGGAGCTGTTTCGTTGGTTTGTGAGTAAATGGTAGATGCATTGAAGTTTCTGATTCTGGAGTCCTCCTGTCATCAATCTGTTGTATAATAGAAAGGACACGAGTTAAACTCACAAGGTAAATTCATATAATTAACACTTTGTCTAAATCATACACTGTTTTATCTTGATTTTTGTCTTAACTAGAACCGTCATCCAGAGGATAACTATTACCCCCCGCAGATGCTGGTAGTTAATCATCAATTAGTGACATTGACCTTGGGGTTTCTGGACAAGTTATTTCGCATAAAGGATAATAACTCCCTTAAAAAGTGTTGAAATCTGAAATTAAAATGCCGGTGCACAACTACAAAATATACTTATCATTAAAATGAAATTAAAATAAAATCTGCCAGTTAATTAAGATGAAGTTTTCCGGACAAGTTACTGCGAATGACATCCAGACAGGGTGATTCCAGTATACCCCCCATCCCCCTAACTTCGTTGTGGGGGGTATAATTAGCAAACTTTGATTTTGACAATGACAAAGTACACATACTGGTTACCCAGTTCCAGAAGTGTCTGGTACAGATACCATTTGTCTTCAAAAACATTTCATTTATGACTCAAAAGACTGATATATGTTGGACAGATTTCTCTGCCGTTAAATGGATGGCCTGTGAGTAGATAGGCATGGGCAGAACAGTAAGTAACTGACCGTGAGTTTCTCTAGGTAGGTGGCCAGCTGTCGGAGAACCGGCTCCAGACAGTTAGTGTTCCTGGTGACGTGCTTCAGACAGATATCTGTCAGGCCCTGTAATGGTAGCGATACAATGGGATATCTTAGTCTTCACAATCACACTGGAGCATAATACCAACTATACACAGGTCAATTCTTCACCTTCTTGAAATATATTTTATCAGAAGTTTACAAATGTAGGACATTGTTGAACAAAAACAGGATGCATAACTGATCTTTTTAATGAAAACTGTAAAATTCATAAATAGATAAAAACATTACACTGCATCAAATTTAATGTGATTTACATTCAAAGATCTTCTAATGATATTTTCATCAATGATTGTGAATGTATTGTACTTTGAGTGATACATTTTATTCTTATTGTAAGGCTCTAGTTGTGAACACTTTCCAAGAACCATTTTTTACCGTAACACTTTCATTTGTAAGTTATATGATGAAATTAATTAAAACTTCTTGACACCATTATTTTATATCAACTACAAAACTCAAGCCATAGGTGTGTGGTTTTAAAGTAAAGTATCAAAATAAAATTATCAAGAGCTATTCATGCTCTTTATTTCCAATGTATAAAACAAGGGAGAAAATGTATGATGGTCGAAACCTGAACTGATTTTGGCGTGCCCAGTGTGAGAACCTACCAGATGGAGGCGCTGCTGTACTTTGTTGTTGATGGTCGCGAACAGGATATCCAGACTGGGCATGTCATTATTGGGGTAGTTGTCGGGGAAGACAAGCTTGAGACGCACATTGTGATTGTTGGCCATCGCTAGGACTATGCATGTTCTTGTGGTAGGGTTTAACTGTGGGATATGAAACATAGGAGTAGAGTATTTGTATTAATCCTACAAAGCAACAGGTGACATTATTCATCAAAGCACGGCCATATCCATGTTCAATATATTCCTGAATTCAACAATATTAACGATATTTTTTAATACTCTAGTTTTATTTTCAAGAAATTCGTATATTAAAACTATATCCTTGTTGGGCAATTGCATATTCATGCCCTGATATGAATCTTTCAATCATTGACTTGTTGCATTTCTCATGGGTGTTCTTAGCATTTATATGAGATTTAATTGGAAGTGTACATGTGTAAAACCAGAATTTTTGATGTGCAGAGGAGAGTAATTAAATTTTAATGCTCAGAAACCAAAACAAATTGGAAGCTTATAACTTCAAACAATTTTTAACTGAAATATTCTTACTAGTAAAACATTCCCAGATGACTGAAATCAAATTTTGTGCACTTCCAATTTCATTTCATGCCAAAAGCACAGGCTTTTTCTCCTTGTTTTTCATCCGCATCTCAAAATAATCATGGTATCAAACATATACCTGAGAACTACTCTTGTAATACAAGAAATTGAAGGATACATCCTTTTAGAGTAAATATTTATCAGAGCTAACTGCTATATGGAAACCTGTTCCAGGGTATTTAATACTATACTTACTTCCTCAACAACAATATTGGGTATCTCTACATTGACCAATGAGAACTCTTGTTTCAGTGTGCGTGGCTGCTGGGCTGTGATACTGTCGGGACTGCCTGATGGTTGGCGGGTTGTCTCCCCTCCTTCTCCCTCTTCCCCCTCGAAGCTGTTGGTACTGCTGACTAGGGACATGGTACTTAGCTCTTCACTATCAGGCAGGTCTCCAACATCGTGGCCACACAACTACATAGACAAATAATCCTATGATAACATCAGGGCAACACAACTATAGTATGTATACAGCGTATCATAATCGGGTCCAGTTGACAGTGTTATATCATCATATTCTTAAATGCCTACTACTAATTCTGCAATCAACATGTAACACACTTTTTAATTATACAAATACACTACCATAGACCTTCATAATGTTATACTTAGTATTATATTGTTTCAGTAACTGGTGCCCTGGCTTACCTTCTGGTGCTGTAGGTCCACCTTCCACACTCGAAGGGTCTGATCTCGCGCCCAAGTAACTAACTGAAAGTCTCGCTCCTCTTCTGTCTGCTTCCGCCACTGGAACTCTAAAATGGCGTCTTGATGGCCCATGAACTGGTGCACAAGTTGGACATTGTCTTCGACGGTCCAAAGATACAGAGAGTTGTCTCCCCTCCTAATCTGTGGCACGGCTACTGTTACTAACCCATGACCAAATGGCTGAAATAAAAATATATGCATTAGTCCTTTTTATCCTTACACACACCTCATATTTACTTTCAGTTGTTATCACCTTGTATGCACTATGACACAAAATGGAACCTGTGTAATCAAAAGCATGTCTATTCTAAACAAAAATACTTGGTTCCTTTGTTGTTCAGTTTTGACAGGTTTCATTTCTAGTTCTTGCATTTAATCCAGAATATATGTTATTTAGCTGAAGCAAGCTTACTAAGCTTAATAAATATAGTTTTTTAGATTTTTTATACATTCTCTGAGTTTGGTTTGTTTGTGTTTTACATCCTATTGGAAAGCTATGGTCATTTAAGGATGTGACAGGTTTTGGTGGTGGAGGAAATCTAGAGTTTGTGGAGCAAAACCACTGACCTGTGGACAGTAACTGGTGATCCAGTTGTGGAGGGCTAGTGATCCAGACGGTCATATGCTTTAACCACTCGGCCACTGCGGCCCCAACATTATCTTAGTGTTAAATTCAGTACATATGGTGTATACAAAACTAGACAGACCCCTAAGTTGATATGGCCGTGTAATTATTTATTTGATAACCAGTGGTTATACTTTTTCTGTAGTTTAAATACTTTTAAAATAATTTTTTGAAGTTGTCAAAATGACCAGAGCTCTCATGTATGTATATATTTTATTGCCTTTCTTACCGTGTATCGTGCCCTCCATACTGGACAACCTGCCGACATGGAACCTTTAGCTTGGCGGAAATTGGTTACATCCCAGAACTGTAACAGATACAACATGTGATAGGAGTTACAGTGAGCTGACCTGTTGTGGTGCTGTTATACTTTTTGATATCAACACCATGTCTGACCCCTGTAGGTGTGATTAAGTAATTCATTACAGTATTCATTTTACATCTACAGCAAACCAATATTAAACACATAATTTACCTTCAATGAATGTAGACTTGTGCTTCATCAAACTTCACATCAATATAACTAGAATGCCAAAATTGCATGTGCTTGATTGCATTGGGTGCTGCTTTCATTCTAAAAGACTGTTGCTTCCACAATGTTCAGAGGCATTCCAAATAGACAATCATAAACAAAGGTACATGATGACAACAACAGTTTATGTTGACATCAGTAAAACAAAACACTCAACACTAAATTATGAGGGTGATGTCACTTCGGTCAACCTCTGTAGAGCTAATGCTCTCAGCATGAACCACGCATTAGATTGTATCACTATGATAGCCAAGCGGTTCCCTTTTTTCAACATTTTCTTGAAATCTTAAACTTAAGCAAAGTAAAAAACAAGTGTTTAACAGATTCATACATATCAGTAAAATGCAGAAGTTTGTGACAACGGTAAGGTTTGTATATGTGCTATGTGAAACAACAACAAACAGAGGAGTACATAGTGTTTCTTCATCTTACAACAATATATAGCAGCAAAAGGGAACTCAAGCTCACTTCACATAACCTAGCCTAGAATTTAAACTATCAACTTAATGGCATTAGCATGGGAAAAAATTGCAAGCATTAGTAATGGTGTCGATATATGGCATATAACGTGAACAGTCTATGTATGATAGGGGTGTTAGAACTGTGTGAATGTGACTGTAACCTGTATTTTTATAAATCAAGTGACTATAACTTATTGTTAAGGATTGAGGCTGTATGGCATTGATCAGTTGGACATATGTGACAGTACTAGATCTTGTTACAGGTTTGCTGTTTGGTGGCCTCAACCACTGATATTATGCAATGGCCATAACAAACGCAGACACTGTAAAGATGAGTGTGAAAACCATATAGTACCAGAATGAGTTGGAACTGAATTCTGAACTCACGTTTGAGATTAAGAGTTTTTTTAACAATGTTTAAACACTTAAAATTCAAAAAGTTCTAATGCTTTACAGTACCTTGACTGAGCCGTCCTGACTGGCAGTAGCCAGACAGTTCTCACTGTGGGGACTCCAGTCCAGGCCATGGATCTTAGACAAGTGAGCCGCTATGTAGGTCAGCGGAGAGTTCCCTTTCTGAAAGATAAAAGTAAAATTATGATCAATAGATCGAACAGCACAATTGTGCACCAAATTGTGCACCCTCAGGAGAAAACTCATATTCCACATACCTACATATGACAGACTCTTATTTAATTTATTTCACATATAACTGTTCCTTTTTCATAATAAATCCAAACTTTTCTATAAAGTATTTGCATGTACATTGCATCTATATAGATTGAATAATCTTGGACAGTGATACAGTAAAACCTCGTCTTGTGATTTTGGCGGTATAACGAGTTGGAGGTATATCAGGTTTACCGTTTTGAACCCAAGTGAGCACACACCAACTGAACTTATACTTAAAAAAAAACAAAAAAACTTCAGAGTATGTTTTTTTTCTTCACAATTGTAATTTAATGTATCGAATTGTTGAGCGTGCAAAACATAATCACAAAAGGTATGGAAGTGTCGCACATAAATAATGTCTAATTAATGCTGTGATATCCCGACAACGTCAATGCAGAATTAAGTAGGAGCTATGTTGACTTCCTTGTTGTCGTCATCATTGTCGTCATCATTGTCCAGGTTTGTGTGTGTGGTGACAGTTTTGATAACATCATTGGCTTCAACATTGGCCAGGTTTGTGGGTGTGGTGACAGTTTTGATTACATCATTGTCGTCATCATTGTCGTCATCATTGTCCAGGTTTGTGTTTGTGGTGACAGTTTTCATAACATCATTGTCGGCATCATTGGCCAGGGTTGTGTGTGGTGGCAGTGTTGATAACATCATTGTCTTCATCATTGGCCAGGTGTGTGTGTGTGGTGACACTTTTGATAACATCATAGTCGTCATCATTGGCAGGTTTGTGTGTGTGGTGGCAGTGTTGATAACATCATTGGCTTCAACATTGGCCAGGTTTGCGTGTGTGGTGACAGTTTTGATTACATCATTGTCGTCATCATTGGTCAGGTTTGTGTGTGGTGACAGTTTTGATAACATCATTGTCGTCAACATTGGCCAGGTTTGTGTGTGTGGTGACAGTTTTGATAATATCATTGTCTGCTACAACTTCATTGGGTTGAAAAACAACAAATAGTAAGTAATTGGCGGTATTTAACAAGGTCAAAATAGTGTGATTTTAACCATATGTTTTGGAAATACGATGGTGAATTGCGGTATGCAGGTTTGGCATTACAACGGATGCATTAATGTTGGGGGAAATCTGTTATGAGTAAATTAATGGCTGAATGCGGGTTTTGCGGGTTTACGGGTGGCATTACAACGGGGTTTTACTGTATTTGTATTGATATAATACCAGAACAATTGTGATATCTTGACTTACATGCAATGTGACCTCTGCATAGCTTTTTGAAAAGCATATTTACTTAATAGATTGATGTCAAAACTATCATGTATATTTACTATTGCACTCATGATATTCCAGTAAATCAAGATTGAAGAGACAGTTTTTACAGCAATAATACTTAATATTAGTAATCATAAAACACTTGCGATTATGAACCGACAAGTAAAGGTGGCCGAGATTCTATACAAACCCTAGGGTCCCAGAGACGAACATCACCCTCATGGGTTGTGGCAAACTGGTTGGTCTGGATTTTGTTCCACATAACTTGTGAGGCCCCCGCTGTAAAGAAAACATTTACTGAAACAGGTGCTTTCACAACAGAGTTCATATTTTGTCCTAATCGTGTATGTAAAAGGTCACAGACACCCAGAATTACACAGCTAATGTAACAAGACAGACATATCCCTTGTCCTGTGGTCAATATACAGGTAAATATGAGGACAGAGAAACAAATCCCCAGGGCAATAAAGGTGATATACATACCCACTGTCTGAAAGGATGACTGCGGCTTTCTAGGGTCTCTGAAATTAATTATAAATATATAAACAAATGAACATTTAACAAGTAATACCAACTTCAGTCCTTCCATGTTTGAATGACACTGTAATTTTAAAGTAAAAATGTCCCCCCCCCCCCCCTACACCCAGTAAGAAAAATGCATGTTTACAATAAAGCAAAAGTCCAAATTCAGCTGTAGTATATTACTTTCAATTCATAAAAGTAGTGATCTTGACAAACTGCTACCTAAAACAAGTGAACAAAAAAGTTGGTAGAAATTGCAGCACGAATAAGCTCCTTGTTCGGGGACATATTCCCAATTATACGACTAAAAATAAACACGAGTTCAGGTTCAAGGATATATTATAGAAATTAGTCTATAGTGCCCTTGACAATACTTCGTTATCCAGTGGCTCCAAAATAAATAGAGATATCCCTCTACCACAGGGGCATGATGTAACTTACTGAACCTTTCAGGGGTTTCTCTGTAAATTACTGAACCTTTCAGGGGTTTCTATGTAAATTAATGAACCTTTCAGGGGTTTCTATGTAACCTACTGAACCTTTCAGGAGTTTCTATGTAAATTACTGAACCTTTCAGGGGTTTCTATGTAAATTATTGAACCTTTCAGGGGTTTCTATGTAAATTACTGAACATTTCAGGGGTTTCTATGTAAATTACAGAACATTTCAGAGGTTTCTTGGTAAATTACTGAACCTTTCAGGGGTTTCTATGTAACTTACTGAACCTTTTGGGAGTTTCTATGTAAATTACTGAACCTTTCAGGGGTTTCTATGTAAATTACAGAACATATCAGAGGTTTCTATGTAAATTAATGAACCTTTCGGGGGTTTCTATGTAACTTTCTGAACCTTTTGGGAGTTTCTATGTAAATCACTGAACCTTTCAGGGGTTTCTCTGTAAATTACTGAACATTTCAGGGGTTGCTATGTAAATTACTGATCCTTTCAGGGGTTTCTCTGTAAATTACTGAACCTTTCAGGGGTTTCTATGTAAATTACTGAACATTTCAGGGGTTTCTATGTAAATTACAGAACATTTCATAGGTTTCTTGGTAAATTACTGATTATTTTATGAAGTTTATATAGGTGTATCTGATGTAACTTAACGTACATCCCAGAGGTGTATGAAGGTATCTACAGAGTAGGAGGCTAACTTACCGTACATCCCAGAGGTGTATGAAGGTATATACAGAACAGGAGGCTAACTTACCCTACATCCCAGAGGTGTATGAAGATATCTACGGAGTAGGAGGCTAACTTACCATACATCCCAGAGGTGTATGAAGGTATCTACGGAGCAGGAGGCTAACTTACCGTACATCCCACAGGTGTATGAAGGTATCTACGGAGCAGGAGGCTATCACATTTACATCAAATGGAGACCAATCTATGTCACTGAAACACAGCAATATCACAATATAGTTAATGAAAATGGTGACAGTATAAAATCAGTCCAGTAATTGCATTTGTTTCAATGTACTTCTCCTTATTGATACCTAGTTAAATATTTTTTACTTTTATGTAAAATAATCAAGCGTCATAGGTACTTTTAATACTAAGAAGTATAAATAAATACAGCACATCCACTGGAATTTCCTTTGGCTTAATGATATACAAAACGTGACAGTGACATGTACAAATGTATCTCAATAATATAAAACAGTTATCTTATTAGTAGTCATTTAGCCTTCAATATTGATGATGAATTTGATAAATACACTACTTGAGTAACAATTTACCTTTCATCATTTACTGAAGTTTACTTACCTGTCCTAAATTGGTTCTGAAGCTTACCTGAAAGTGTTGGAGAATTACCCTTAACTTACCTGAGAGTCTTGGAGAATGTTTTAAGCTTACCTGACAGTTTTGGAGTAACCCTAAGCGTACCTGAGAGTCTGAAGTGACCAGCCTTGGAGAGTGACCCTGAGGCTTACTTGCAGGTGTTTGAGTCACCCTGAAGCATAGCTGACAGTCCTAGAGTGACTATGTATGAAGCTTACCAGACAATGTTGAATCATCATTGAAGATTACCATAGTGTGCTGGAGTGACTATGCAGCTGTCTGATCTGACAGTGCTGGAGTGACCACAAATGTTACCTGACAGTGTTGGAATGACCACAAATGTTACCCGACAGTGTTGCAATGACCATGAGGCATTTTTGCCAGGGCTGGAGTGAATGTAAGCTTACCTTACACTGCCAGTGTTAGAACTACTGTGAAACTTACCTGAAAGTGTTAGAACTACCGTAAAGCTTACCTGACAGTGTTAGAACTAAAATGAAGCTTACCTGACAGTGTTAGAACTACCATGAAGCTTACCTGATAAAACCTGACAGTGTTGGAGTGACCATAAAGCTTTCCTGACAGAGTTATAACTACCATGAAGCTTACCTGACAGTGTTAGAACTACCATGAAGCTTACCTGACAGTGTTAGAACTAAAATGAAGCTTACATGACAGTGCTAGAACTACCATGAAGCTTACCTGACAGTGTTGGAGTGACCATGAAGCTTTCCTGACAGAGTTATAACTACCATGAAGCTTACCTGACAGTGTTAGAACTACCATGAAGCTTACCTGATAAATCTGCTAGAGTGACCATGAAGCTTAACTGATAGATCTGGAGTGACATGAAGCTTAACTGATAGATCTGGAGTGACCATGAAGCTTACCTGATAGATCTGGAGTGACCATGAAGCTTACCTGATAGATCTGGAGTGACCCTTCATCATACACTGGTTAGTACAGACACCATCCTTCCATGCAAACAAGTCCAGTCGCTCATTACACTAAATCATACAAAACACATGTAAAAGTGGACTTGTTAGAAGCAGCTTATGACTGACAGTATGATATGAGAATGAAAACTATCTTTTCAAAATTTTAAACATTCATAGTACTATTATCATCTTGGCAAGGTTGTGCATGTGCTTGGGATTTTATCAATAAGATAATGTTGTCAATGAAAAAATTAAAAGGAGCGTGGTTCTACTGACAGCTGTCATACAGTTGTAGATATGCTAGGAATAGGGGTTCCACTTACAGCTGTGACAAAGTTGTGGGCGTGTGAAGGGTGGGGGTTCCACTGGACACAGTTGATATCCCATTTTTCCCACTTGCTCTGCCGTGGATGTCTGGCCAGTGGTTCCGTCGGATTTCTCAGATCAACAAAGGTCAAGGCCTTGCGACTGTAGGAAACAAATTGATATTGAAGCAGTATTAATCTTTTGTGTGCATTACAATACATACTGGTTTACTGATGAATATTTTTTCTGTAAATGACTAAATAGAAAAATTTCTTTTAAACAAGTCAGTTATACAATTACTTTATTCATAATTTGATATCAATGTGAATATGCATAGCAACATATTTTATAAACATTACTTTCACTATGCATAAAGTATTGTGACTTCAATCTACCCATTCTCAGAAACTGTGTTGTCAAGTTTACAAACAAAAGTACATGGCTTTTGAAATATATATAATAGGACTTTAATACATATGTACACAGACACATGTTAAGTAATTAATGGTACATTTCCTAAATAAATTGTATATAACTGTCAGTATCAGGATTTTTAAGAAAATAGATCAGAATGTTTGTCTGTATAATGAGGTAGTTAATTCATGTGTCTCTGTACTAAATCCACTTCAAATGTAAGTGAAACAATAATGCAATATTTGTTGTGATATGTGAGGAGGATTCTACAGTGCTACTTCACCTATACATGAATGTAAGAACACTACCAAGTAGGAGACTCAGTGCAATCTGAGATGTCCTCTGATATCTATGAGCTAGAGCACTTACCCAGCTATTACAGTCACGAGCCCCAAACAGTCCACAGCCATAGACTTCGCCTAGAACACACATAACAGATTTCTTTCTGGTTACTATTTTTATTAAAAGAAATCTATTTTCAACAAGCAAGGTAATTACAATACCAGTTTATAATACATATACCTCTAAAAATATTGTATGAGTGATGTTTAATATTGCTTATTTTAATAAAACACTTGGTCTAAAATACACAGTAAATTATAGACAATAAGACTGAATGTACACAGACCAGTTGTAACCTCGGTTGTGTTCTTGTTTTTGCCTAGCTTTAAACATCCCTGGTGTAAGTCAACAGCTTCTGAATAACACTACTTTATACCTACATCAAGTAGACAGTTCAACAATTTTCACTTACTTTTCAGTGTTTTTTCTGTCTGTACATAGGATTGAATAAGGAACTCATTCTTCATGAAAAAATTACTTTTTATTGCTAAAATGGACTTTAAATTCCCAAGCCAAAATCAATAAGCTATTAAATGATGATCTACATTATGTAAGCAAGCTAGGTTTTTAATAGGGTAAGTTAAGTAAATGCCAAATGCTTTACATCCTCCCCCTGCCTAACGGCAGCCCCCAGCCCCCCACACACACTTAGTGATGGTCCCATCTTTTGCAATATCAGATAGGAGGGTGTTCCACTTGCAATTGGTCCTTGGGGGAAACAGTTTTAAATTGTGCGAAGGTAACTGGTCATGGTGATCAGTTGGAATGTCAACTGTGGATCTTTCTCCTCTTCCATTTTGTGTGATAATGCGCTTAGTTTTTCCTTATGGCAACTCCATCAGTCTCCATCTTATAAGTAAGTCCACACAAGCTAAGCTTCTTCCTTTCACTATTTAATGGACCTCAAACCAGTTTGAGATACTTATCCAGAGGAAACTCTCCTGCTGTTGAACGTTGCACTATATCAGGAAACCAATGGCCCTATTTCTTTTGGCAACAATCTTGCTGACCTGTGTTTTCCACAATCAACAAAAAGAGGCGGAACGGAAATCTTCTAACAAGAATGATATTTTCTGTTTTTGGTCCATATCAATACAGTATGTTGATTAGTCACTCCCATGAATTACAAAATGTCGTTTGCTCAGGTGGGAAATTTTGAACGATTGAAAACCGAGGACTCTACTGACGGAATGTAGCAGCTGTTGGTGATAATAAGAGCGGATTTGGATTAATAAATAATCCATTTATCGATACATGTGGTGTCAAAGCAGATTTTTGTTGTCAACATCTCAAACTCTTTGATTCCAAACGGTGTCGGAGGATTACACGTTTTCATATATAGTAGTGCGCTCTGGCCCCACACCAATTATCTATCTGTCAAAATGTCTAGTGTCAGAGGAAGGTCAGGCTACACTGTAGTCAATGTGTAGGTCATAACCCTGTGCTAGTAGATAATGTAATTGCCAATGCATGCATGGTATCGTTTTAACAGTTAGGAGACAGATAACAGCATACAGTCTTCACCGACAGACAACACCGTACAGTCAAGCATACGAAGTTATTTAGTACAGGAGGGTGACAATTTAACAATAATCGGCCCCCATATTCCAAAACAAAATAAAGAATTACACAATACACATACAAAAGTTTAGACTAGTGTAAACAAAACGCAAAAGCCACAACAGCAAGAGCAGTTTTATGCAATGTTGTTGTCATGTTTGTTTCGAATTACCCACTCACTTTTCAGTAAAATTACGACTTTGCACTCCATAAAGGAACGGAACTAGAATAAATAAGTAGTATAATGGGTGTGTATCTCACTGTTTCCTCCCGTAATTCACATAATTACCTGTAGATCGCCATAATCTGCAACAATTTGTTCTGAACTCCACATTGTTGCCATTCTCCATCTTCTTTTTTCCTGTAACTGAGTCAGACAGGCGCTTGAATACTAAAGCGTTTGGAACGCTTAGATCAGTCAGCATGTGAAAAGTCTGGTTTGGTTTTGATTTCGCCCATCGACAATTTGAGACATTTAAGGCCTTAGATCTTATTCAGAGTTTACTCTTTTTTTTGGAAGAGTAATACCATGCTGAACTTTTCTTAAAACCAACGGCAAGCCAAGTTACATTGTATCTTACAACTTCTAGGCCTAAATTATTCAAAGAGGATTGTCGATTATCATTTATTTCATAAAATCATAGCAGATACTCTACCGTATGATAGCTTAAAACATATTTGAAATATCTCTAAATACACCGTACAGTATACATGATACAAGATATTGTATTTTAACATGAAATACGAGGCATTTTTCCTCGAATAGGAAGCCGAGGCTGGCTTGATAAAAGGATAAATACTGTTAATTTCATGCATATTTGTTTAAGTATATAAAATATACTTATATACAATGGAAACGATCAAAATGAAATAACGTGCCCATAAAATGAAGGTATTTGGATTGTTCCTGTAGACTGAGTATCGTTCCCGTCCCTTAAATTGATTGTTCCTGTAGACTGAGTATCGTTCCCGTCCCTTAAATTGATTGTTCCTGTAAAGTGAGTATCGTTCCCGTCCCTTAAATTGATTGTTCCTGGTGACTGAGTATCGTCCCCGTCCATCAAATTGATTGTTCCTGTAGACTGAGTATCGTTCCCGTTCCTTAAATTGATTGTTCCTGTAGACTGAGTATCGTTCCCGTCCCTTAAATTGATTGTTCCTGTAGACTGAGTATCGTTCCCGTCCCTTAAATTGATTGTTCCTGTAGACTGAGTATCGTTCCCGTTCCTTAAATTGATTGTTCCTGTAGACTGAGTATCGTTCCCGTCCCTTAAATTGATGATTCCTGTAGACTGAGTATCGTTCCCGTCCCTTAAATTGATTGTTCCTGTAGACTGAGTATCGTTTCCGTCCCTTAAATTGATTGTTCCTGTAGACTGAATATCGTTTCCGTCCCTTAAATTGATTGTTCCTGTAGACTGAGTATCGTCCCCGTCCATCAAATTGATTGTTTCTGTAGACTGAGTATCGTTTCCGTCCCTTTAATTGATTGTTTCACTGGTATTCGTTTTGTTTTACAGTCACCGAACACATTTATTTCGAGTTCATTCTACTTTCTATATTCTATTTTTTTCCCTGTCAGTGTCATTTTTTCATTTTGTCTTTCATTTTTTATCAAATTACTTTCTTATCTTGACTTTAGAAAAAACTCGAATTACATTGAAGTCATTTTATGTTCTTGCAGAAATTTCTTGAATTATAGCGATCTAATAGAACCAAGAATAAGCATGTTTCGATATTTGATTTCACTGTTTCATCTCACTTTCGAGTTTTAGAGCATTCCTGAGCGATTCGTCGAACTGCGATGCCTTTCCACAGATTAATTATTATGCACGATGGTTTACCTACTTTTCTCCTGCTCTGCAGGTCTTAGATATTCATTGTCAATGTCTTTCACGTCTTTACGTCTAAAGCTATTTCTAAAGAATAGAAAAGAAGGAAATTACAACTTTCTTATAACAAATTATTGCAACAGGAAGACAAATTGGAAATAATTTAAACTTACGACTTAAGTTATGACATGCAGATTAAAGAAAACGGTAACTAGTACACACAGTAACTAGTACACACAGTGGTTTCAGTATAAAATGATCCAAACTTAGTTTAACTACAAATACAGAATTACTAAGAGCCGGGTTAGTTGAGAGCAATCTCCTAAAACTACCTATAAATGAACTTTCTGTATAGTGTTAGTTAGTAGCCGTAGATGATCTAGATCCATATATATCTGTCCCGAGGTTAGCTGTTCACTTGTAGCTGGAATTTAATTTGATGGTTGAGTATCAGTCCCGTCCTGTTCCACCATGTATTATTGTCACCCATTTGTATATGTATATGTATTCTCTGCACTGTATTGTTTATGATAATAAATCAATTGTCATTGAATCTATACAGTGGCTCCCTGTCTGGTGTGTGGTATGAACTCCTGGTCTTCTCAGTCAGACTGTAGTACAGTGGTCATTAACCAGATCTTCGGAAAATAATGAGGAACTGTACAACTTCAACACACAAGAAACATAAATAAAATGTCCGGGTTGATTTGGTTGATTCGAGTGACGTAAACATGCACATCAATATAATTTATATAAATGTCTATTTATGTATTATTGACATTTGTATCGTTACGGATTACATGTTGTTGTAGTTAATGTCAGATGTTAATGAAGCTGCTGCTGCTGCTGCTGATGATGATGATGAAGAGGGGGGTGGTGATGATGATGATGATGATGTGAGAGCGTTAATGATTGTTGAATGCACAATAATGATGTGGGAGTGATAATGAGTGTTGATTGCACAATACATATACGTAATTTGTAATTTATTGTAAAGGATAGTTATCCAATAAGTTGTCAAATAAAAGTTGAATTGTGAATGTGTGTGTGTGTGTGTGTCATATTGTATGTTCTCTCTGTATTGTTTTGTATATATGTTATGACTGATAAGACAACCGACTTAAAGTAATAAAGAACTTGAACTTGAACTTGATTCAAGAAGACACACACCAGGAATTGTGACACCAAAACAATAGGGACACAACTTACCCTCACAAAATACTGGTGAAACTGGATACTTCCGAAAATTGTTTCTCTAATACCGTATCCTTAGGTTACTAAGAACATTAATTTATTAAGTGATTTTTGGCGATTGATTTTGAAACGATGAGTTAAATTCATATGGAATTTGTTGCTATTTTTTGTCTCTTGTGTTTGTTAAAGCAATGGGATTGGGAATAAGGTTTAAATTTTTACAAAAATCCTTTTCCCTACATACAATATTTCCTCAAAATATAAGACGGAATTAACATATATTTGTAGTTACACACGTTGTATTGAGTTTTAGGAGGGACAGGGGAAAAGGATTGGCATGATAGGGGTACCCTAGTTCAGAACCCACGAGTTCTCGATATTAAGTGCTGGACATGAGTACATTTTTTTTCTTCTGCCTGAAGTAGTTTTCGTTGCTGGTTTACCGTTAGAAGATTATCGAAATTTACTGGCTTAAAGGTTCATGGACATACGTAAGTGAAGACAGAGCTTATGGACATCTTTATTGGCGGGTCCAAAAGCACAATCAACCGGCGAGTTTGTTAAGGTTGGCTGTAAAAAAAATCAACATTTAAGAGAGCTACATTGGTGTGATGGTTTAGTTTACTTCTAAACCAGACATTCTACGATCCCCTATCAAAGAAACATTCGCTACATACTATTTCTTATCTTTAAGCTCAAGGGCGTTTTTGAAATTATCAAATGTTGGTATGTTTTTGTAGCAATATCTTTCTCCCCGAGTAACTTTCAATGTATACCTACACCAGATAGCATCGTTAAAACTGTGTTTTGTAGTTCAAGCTAATATCGTGATGAAAAGCGTTCGAATGTTTTGTAGGAGGCTAATTGTTTTATTTCACGGTGTCGTGTCAGTAAGAGAGAGAACAACCACACAATAGGGTTATTATCGTTGTATCATATGGTAGGCCTATTTTACACAACACAAAAAAGCCTCAACTCTAAATGTTTTACACGGAATAAGCGCATCGTTTTATTTTGATCGGTATCCTTCCTATTTTAAACCATTTGTTTAAAAATATCACTTGACACTGAATACGAGCTGTCCTCATTAATACAATGGCTGTCGGCCTTTTGCCGATCTGACGGCAAAATTCAAAGTCACTCTTCTGTTAAATATACCGATTGCTTTGGTTAGATTATATTGGTGTTAACTGTCTGGTATTGCTGGATATAGTTATTTGAGTTATTGTGTCAAAAGAAAACCCAAAATAAGGAGCCTACGTCTGTAGCGTGCCAATATGTGAAAACAACCCAATATGTGAAAACAGGAAACAATACATTAATCTCATTAATTACTGTGTTTGAATTTAATATAGTTTTTCCTATTTTCACATATTGGGTTGTTTTCACATATTGGCACGCTACATACGTCATAGAAAAATCACAAACATAAACGACATGACAACCCTGGCAGGAGTAAACAATAGACGTGACGACACATTTCAATCCATTTTACGTTTTTATTGGTGAAGTTGTTATATTGTTGGTTAGGCTATAGTACCGCTAACGGTGGGTAATATATTCCTAACTCCGTGGCTATTCAGTCTTCCCTCATTGCGTGGCACATGTATGTAATGCACGTAAGGAATGCTAGAAGGGATTTCTGCTTCCCATTTCAGGGGGTGGTATAAAAAAGACGTCCCGCAGGTGTGTTAAATGACAACAAACGATCGATTACAATGTGACGCGCAAGCCATTTAATCAAAGAAAAAATTCTAGAGGATAAACTTAACGCAGATTTTTTTTCTATTTATAAAAATCTACTTTTGCCAGGCGATAGGAAAGGTGGGGTGATTTTCAAACCTGATTAATTTTACTTACACTAGGCCTATGTCTATCAGACAATATATGTTGGGACATTCGATTTTTTTAGCGGCTTTGTGTCATTTTTTATACACATCGTGAGTTACCTATTTGGTATGTATTCTTTTTCGTGATGTTAACTTTTTGATACAGTGTATGCGGAATGTTTTACACCTTATACATGATATAATCATGGATGTACCATTGATCGATAATGTTTTACACGTTATACATGATATAATCATGGATGTACCATTAATCGATAATGTTTTACACGTTATACATGATATAATCATGGATGTACCATCAATCGATAATGTTTCACACGTTATACATGATATAATCATGGATGTCCATTGATCGATAATGTTTTACACCTTATACATGATATAATCATGGATGTACCATTAATCGATAATGTTTCACACCTTATACATGATATAATCATGGATGTACCATCAATCGATAATGTTTTACACCTTATACATGATATAATCA